CATTCAGCTTGATTTCAGGAGGTTTGAATGATGATTGTTCTGTAGTTGTAATTTTGATGTGGTTGTGGGAGGACAAGATATGGCGTTTACCTACCCGCCATCTTGACCAGAAGTCCTCTCGGGTTTCTTTTTAAAAAAATCACACCAGCAACACTTAACTCATATTTCCTTGTGGCAACAGGACGTTGGATTGAGGATCAGCTTTCTCTTTTTGAAGGTGGTTGGGTACCCATTCCCTATTATTTCAGCTGTACCTGGGTTAATTCATACTTTGATATTGCTTATCTGGTCCTGGTTTGGTATTTGCATTTCTTTGCATTACAGAAAATGACAGTAAAACATGTGTGGGGAAATATAGAGTATAGGAAAATATAAGGTGGGAGTATGATAAAAATAAACATTGCTATCCTTTTTTTTTTTTTTTTTTAAATTTTTTTCCCTTTATTGATTTTAGAGAGGAAGTGAGAAGGAGAAAGAGATAGAAACTTCGATGAGAGAGAACACTGATTGGCTGCCTCCTGCGTGCTACCCACTGGGGATCTGGCCCACAACCTGAGCATGTGTCCTGACCGGGAATTGAACCAGCGACCTTTTGGTGCTTGGATCAATGCTCAACCACTGAGCCACACCAACTGAAACTGCTATCCTTTTCAATTACATTTGTAATATAAGAATAACTCCAGGTAGATTATGGGTTAAACAGCATCACGTAACTAAATTGGAAATGCAATACAAAAACTGGATCACAACCTCCCATAGAAACAAATAGGTAAAAATTAATTTCCACATATGTTTTAACAACAAAATAAAATCATAAGTTGGATACTATGGTTGTTTTGAAAAGACTGAAAAATTAAGACCCGGAGTGCTAAATGCCAAGAAGTGGAATTTGCACCTGACTTAGTAGTTAAAGTCACTGTAGTTTGATCAGAAGGGTAAAATGAGTAGGTCAGGCTGACTTAAGAGAGAGATAAGTCACTTCTGGCAGAAAGACCAACTAGAGGACTCTGCTGCAATATTATGGCACAACATAAAAATGTTACCTATAATTACCTAGGCAATGAAGGTGATGGACCAAGTGATTTCTAATTTCACTTTCATTTGCGAAATCTGTAATTCTCTGCATCTTTCTATTTTACTTCGAGGACAACATAATTTATGATCTATTCATCTTAAAAAGGAATAAATTTTAGTGCTGTTGCAGTCACACTGACAAAGGAGTATAGCTGCTAAATAGGACACAGAAGTTTCGTTGTGGAGAGATGGGGGAGATAAAAGTGGTCCTTAAAAGTAAATGAACATGAGGACTCTACATAAAGACTTGGAACTCAACCACACATGTATGAGAATTGATCAAGTGATAAGAATAAAGGGAAAAGTAAATAAAAAAAACACTATGAAGAAGATCCTAACATTATGGTGTCAAAGGACTAGCTACTGAATAATAAGGAAGAAAATCAATATAAGGAAGAATAAAAATCCTCATTTTAAACAGACAAATGCTAACCGTGTAGTACTCAGAGACCCCAATTGAAAGAGAAAGTAAAAGCATATATATAGCGAGGAAAAAAAAAAAAGATCTCAGAGGGAAGAAATAGGTAGCAAGAAACAATGAGCAAAGGAATTATTAAAATATACTAATAATCCAACCAACTCCTGACTGTACAATAAATGTAAATGTATGTTTTTGGAAATTAAAAAAACTGGAATAAAAATGGATGTGTTCAATACTGGGATGCCTAGCAAGCCTATATGGTAAGGTAAACAATCCATTCCAATTAATTTAGAGAATTTTTATATATTTGATTCCATGATTTCACTTTTAAACATATCTCCTAAATTTTTCATTATTGACAAAATACAACAAAATATCTTCTCCTCCCAAATCTACAGTTACCATCTATAGTGTCATGAAGAAGTACCTGCAAAGAGCTTGGGTCATACTTGCATCTTTGACATTTGGATCCGTAGTAAGGCTCCTGATGAGAACTGTAATCATCTGAAGAGGAATATGCTGCACAAGGCTTGCCAATGCTACAGAAGGTTCAAATGATGCATCTATTTTTTTTTTTTTAATTAAAAAGAAAAAGGGATATGGCAAGAAGGTTCAAGTGAAGTATTGAGAGAGAACAATTAACAACAACAACAACAACCTGCAGCAAAGGTGTTAATCAGGAAATAGTTGTTATGCTGTACCTCATGGGTACCCTAACATAAAAGGAATGTTACATTACAGAAATTAGAGATTAAGAGTAACAATGATTGCTCCTTCAATATAGACAGAACTACTGCAATATAAAAACTTGTTCACTATTGCCATATTTGGTCCATAAATTACTTTATTTTCTTGCATTCTTTAATATTAAGTCATCGTCTGCTAAAATGTTCACTTAAAAAGAAATGTAAAGTTTAAATTTCCACCTTAGATCCTCCAAAGTAACTTATAACTATTAATTACAGTAGTCTCTAAATTGTTCTAAAGGAAGATTTTAAAAAATCTCTTAAAGATGTAGAAATTAAGGTGAATTTGGAGGGTATTTTGCTTAAACCATATAAAAATTAAGCAAATCCAAGGTCAGCATGTTTATTGCTACAGTTGACAAAGTTCTGGGGAAATGTAACAGCTCTAGCAACACAGGCAATGCAAGAAAGATTACAATTAAAAATAAATAAATAAACCAGCTCAGATACTGCAAGTACATAGTTGATAATTCTTTCATAAATGTACTTAATTCATCAGAATGCATGGGGCTTGTCAAAACTCTGTTCTTACTTCTGGTTCTCAAGATAACGGAGGACACCTCCTTCACAACTTCAATTTCCAATAACAGCCAGGGAGAATAGTTGTACCAAGTAGAGAGGAAGTTTTGGATCTATTGTTGCACAACCCACAGAGCTAGAAGCTCCAAGTCCAAATAAGGAATGTAAATGCACAGGTAAAATTCCTCAATGACAAAGCATTTTCTCACTAAATATCAAGTGACCTCTCCCTCCTTGCTTTATAAGGATGCAGTTCATGGGCTATTATTCCTTGAGTGAAAAACACCTATTTAGGTCTGCCTATTCTTTCCCTTTCCTCATTCTAGTTGCAGTCTTTCTCATGAACACTACTGCAGACAGAAAATGTCAATAATCAAAAACTACAGAGTTAACTCGCATAAGCCAGTAATGAACCGCACAGACCATGAATAAAAAATTGGAAAATTAAAAAACTCATGGTAACAAAATGACAGGGTTAGAGTGCAACAATAATACATATGGTAAACATTATTAGGCTACCATTAGTCACTAATGAATAGAAGCTTTACATACTAGCTGTCATCCCCAAAGCATTCCATATCTTGAGCAGAGGCTGGGTAATTAAGCAACTTGTTTAGTGCCAAAAGGTCTTAGACCTAGAAGTTTCCGGCCAGTTTTTTAAGGGAGAAACGGCAGCCTGAATAGGGTAGTGGATGGGAATAAAATTTTGGATGAAGTACTAAGATTTGCTCTCCACTAACAGTATTTTCAGGGTAGGGAAGCAAACATGGTGTTTGTGTGTGTCTGTGTGGGAGGCAGAATTTCCAAGAGAGATTTTTCTTAGAATAAATGATGACCCTTACCTGTGGAAGAAATGCTTGCAAAAATTTCTTGCAGGGAAGGCAGCAGTGTGGAGGGCTCGGCCTTCCAGATGTTCTGCAGCAAGTTACTCACTTTTGTCACCTGAGAGACATATTCTCGCAGCTCCTTCTCCTGGGTGGACTGGCACTGGAAGTGGCCGATCGTACGAACCAGCTGTTGACAGAACGTGACGGCCAATTTCCCCTTGGGGATGCACTGCACGAAGTCGGTCAGGAGGTCGCTCAGTCGGGCACACAGCAGCGGCTCCGGCCTCTCGCACACCAGCCGTAGCACCTCCACCTGCAGCAGGCTGAAGAGGTCCAGCACCGAGGGGCAGCTCATGATGAGCTTCAGGCCGTTGTGAATGTAGTCCAGGATGGCTACGTCCTTCCTGTCCAGCGAGTGGTAGCCCTGCTGAAGGAGGCTCAACACGAACGTCTTGTTGAAGAAGGCCTCGAACTCGGGCCGGTGGTACCGTGCGTAGGCCTCCAGCACCTGGTGCCCCACCTGCCGCTGAAAGGGGTCCTGGCCCTCCAGGATGAGCCGGGTGGTCAGGTCAAACATGGCCTCGCACTGCGCCTGGTCTAGCCAATGCTCCGCCGACTCCACCACCTTCCGCACAATCATCCGCTTTACCGGCAGCGGGTGCGAAGAACTCACCAGGCCCTCCAGGATCTTGTCCATTGTCGTCACGCGGCCAGGCCAGGGGACAGGGGACGGGCGGAGACAGCCCCGAAGCGGGGCAGGAGAGCCCCGGGGCGGAGGTGAACTTGGAGCGCAGCAGCAGCAGCGGGACCGACCACCGCCACCGCCGCCTCAGCAGCCACATTTATCGGGCAGGGGGTCCCATCCAAGCCCGGGCGGGAGTCGGCAAGCTCGGGGCGCGTCAGAACCGGCACGGCCCGCGGCGGGCCTAAGGAGCCAGGGGCCCGCACTCCGCCGCCGCCCCGGGCCCGCGCTCCTTCTCAGCATCAGCACGGAGGCGCCCGCGGGGCCCCCGGCGGCGGCGGGCGCGGAGGATCGGGGCTGCGAGCCGGCAGGTGGAGGAAGCACGCCTCCGCGTCCCGGGACGGGGGTGGACGTCGGGTCCCGCAGACAGGAAGATGAAACAGGCCCCGGGTTGAGCCTGGAGCCGCTGTCACCGAGGGTGTCTGATCAGCCGGGAAGAGGAGGTGAACACCCTTGACCCGGATTCAGAAGGTCCCGCAAACAGGAAGTGACGGAGTAGGAATCTCGGGGAAGGCCCGCCCCTCCGCCCCGCCCCAATCCGTCCCTTCCCACCGAATCCCTCCCGGCTGCGCTCTCCCCGCCCCCCCGCCGGCCCGCCCCTTCGCGGCTGCGCAGGCGCGCCACCGCCCTCGCCCCCGGCCCCGCCAGTCCAGTCACGAGGCGACGCTTGCGTCATCGGGATCGAGTGTCGAGTCACAGGAGCCTTTTCAGGAGGAGGCCCGAACCTGGGGCGATGGAGGTGGCCTCGACCCCAGGATTCCCACCTTCGGATCTCTGTGGGTTCTTTCCGGGTCAGGTGGCTCGTCAAAGCCCGAGAAGGTGCTGTTGATGTGACATCTTGCGAAGGACAGAGTTTTGGAAACGCAAGCATTTGGGGCGAAAGGAGAGAAAACCCTCAAAACTCAGATTGAGGAGAAGTCGTGTGAGGCCTTGGCTCCTCCGTCAAGAAATGAGCTAGGGTTCCTGAACGCGGGGGCCTCTCTCCTCCTCTGTGGTTCCTAAAGCAAGGGCCAGGCTGGCCCCGCGCTTACATTGACCAAGGCCGATCAGAGGTCTGTTTTACCAAACCTCTAGCACGTCTCTCTCTAGTGAGCTTTGGTGGCATATAGAAAAATTATAAGATTTCCAAACACTGGGAGGAGAAAATGACAGGTGAGAAAATGAAAGACGGATATGTATGTGCCTGTGTCACATTGAAGAGTACTTTGAAATAGAAAACGAGATGAAAGTTTTACATTATTTAATATATGTGTATGCTGACATTGAAGATGGTTTACAATAAGGAAGAACAGGTGCAGTCATCCAGCTTGTACTCTTTCAAGTTCAATTCCAAAGATTCACAGTAAGAATTTTGGCTTTCATCAGAGGCCTTTGTATTGGAAAATATTCCCTAATTATAGCCCTATACAGAGTTGGCCTGTAATAGTTGTGAAGTCAGACATTAATGGCCTGTAATATAGACGCAACATTAAACAAATGGTTTGTTTTAAGTGTTTAATAGAAAAATGAACAACATTGTAAGTTGTTTACTTTGCTAAGTACCGTTTTGGTGTTTTTTTTTTTTGTTTTTTTTTTTACAAATATATGAAATGATTACACCAATATATTTAACACATAAATTAGGGTAATCTTAAAAAGAATAGTAGTTCAGGTGAAATAGGAGCTGGGTAGAGGAAACTTGAGACTGAGTTTGTGGGAAGAGATTGGAAATAAAAGAGAAATGAGGAAACTGATGGATGAAAAAGTCAACCATTCTAGAGAATAGCTTCCGAACTTTTCCTTTTCGGATAGATGGAAGGCAAAACTAGAGAGGAAAGTTTAATTTTATGGACTGGTGCCACATTGGAAGAAAAAAATAATGTAGAAGGCAAAGCATTAAGAAGAATGAGTATGTGGGTTTGAAATGTAAATGTAACAGAAGATTTGGAGCCATTTAAGGATGAATGAGGATTGGTGAACAACAGTAGTGAAGTAATTACTCCAAAGCTGATAAGAAAAAAATATTGGTTAGTTAAAAATTTGACAAATGTTCTGAATCATCAATAACATTTCCGCCTTTCTGTTAATAATATGTCTTCAAAAACAGTATTGCAAAATAAGATGTCTGAGAGATACATAGTGCAATTTGTTCTCAGCCTATATAATATAGATAAGGTAATTTCATACTATCAGGCTCCAAAAGCACCATGACTCAGAATTTTTCAAGTACTTCTTGAGTGATAGATGCACAAAATAAAATATTTAATAGGTTTTTTACACCAAGTATTCAAAACATGTTTCTTTCTTTTGCCATTAGTAAAAATATATACATAATATATTCTGTTATGACTATAAGATTTCAGTTGGAAGTGATCTACTTTAAATAATTTATTTGATAACATAACTAAAAATTATGTAACAGCACCATATTCCTGTTCAACATTTTAAACTATTTTCAGAAGTCTATGGAAAGGTTTTGCTGTACTATGCCTTGCTGCTAATGATTAGATTAGTAGGTGCTATTCCTACAGGCTTTAAGATTTTGTGTAAAGATTTAGTCTAAGACCCCAGCTGCTAACTAAATGGTTTTGTAAATATACATCTGGGAATGAGAGTCACCATGATAGGGCTTAAAGAAAAAAAGCTCAGAATAGAAAATGATTATTTCTTAAACACCCTCTATTTGCCTGAAACTCAGTATTTATACTTTATCGTAGTTCTCAAAATAGACTTTTGGAAGTAGACGTTAATAGCTTCATTTTGTAGATAAAGTAATGAGGTCATGAGAGGTTAAATAAATAGGTAGTTAGGTGAAAAGTGTGTGTGTTTGTGTTTGTGACTGGCAAAGAGAAAAAGCATTTCAAAGAGCAGGTTAGAATTGGCCAACTGAAACAACTCTACATTAAATTAACTTTCCAATGTGATATTTATGTCACCCTATAGCATCAAAAGCTAACTTACTGTGTGCATTAGAAAGAGCTTTTGTTATCGTGGAAGTTGAGGTTTCCTTTCCCCACTGAGTGCTGAGGGTGGAGTCCTTACTGTATCCCGAGAAAAAGAATTTTCTGAGACTGGCATGGCAGAATGAGTGACTTTTATTTGTGTGGAAATACATCTCTGTGTTTCTCAAGCCCCACTCCAGTCGCAGAAGAAGTATAGCTGAGGTTTCAGTAGAGCTAAAAACAAATCCAGTGTCCGGTTTCCATCCCATGTTGCATCCAGGTCCAGTTCGGTGTCAGGATAGTTACAGTTCATTAGTCCATTGTGAGTGGGGGTCCACATGGCCATGGGCCATACGAGAGAATGCCAGGAAGCAGGAGTGAGAGCCCCGAAAACCAGGAGTCAATCAAGAGAGCAAACTCCTTTATTCAGGGGATTAACTATCCCAAATTTTGGCCCTTGCAGTGGCCACGCCTATAGTGGCCAATGACTTATTCCAAGGTGCGACTGACAGCAAGCACCTTTGCTAGTCCCCCCAACTTTCCTGGGCATACAGGTATTTTCCTCCCTGTTTAGTCTCTTCCCTCAGCCATCAGAGGGGAATAGACCAGTGGCTCCCTGGGGAGTGCAAAGCTTTAGCTACCTGGTGAAGCTGCCCCAATGACATGTCTATAATATTTGGCCTTCCCTTTGCTCCTTTCTTATTAATAACTAGTTAATTACAATGTTATCATTGTGATTAAGAAGTCATCATGTGAAGTAATTATAAGTAATCCCTTACTTTAAACTATGTAATGTATGTTTAACTATGTAGTAAATTTTTTTAATTATAAGGAAAAAAACTGGAAAGAAATATAGCAACCACTTTGGTAAGATGTGTTAATATATATATTTTTTGACTTGTATGGTACACCAAGCTAATCTCACTACCCTATTTTAAATCCTTCAGTGCTTCCCATTTTATTTAGAATAAAATCCAAGCACCTGCTATTGCTATAAAGCCTTACATAAAGTGACTCGAGTCTTTTCCTGCCATTTTCTTCTTGACTGTGTGAGCCACACCGGCCCTCTTATGGTTGGTCCTCTGGTCAAAATCTCAGGTTCTGGGACTTTCGTACTTATTGAAACTTTCTTCTACGGCTCCTGTAATTTAAGTCTCTGCTTAGAAGTCATCTCCTCATGGTGTCAGTTCCAGATTATCTACTACTTTATTTTGTTACTCTGTTTATTTTTTAAAAATTAAAGTATAGTTGACAATATATTAGCTTCAGGAGTACAGCTTAGTGACTCTATATTTATGTACCTTATGAAGTGCAAATCATGGTAAGTCTAGTAACTATTGAAAGGGACGGGAGAGAATAATAAAATAGAGAACTAATCGTAGTGGCATACCAGCCAGTTATAAGAAATGTTAATCATCCTTTACAATGTTAATCCTGGTTGGTTGAAAAGCCCACTCTGACCTGGCTGGGAGGTGTGCGCCTCGGGAGCTTACCTCAGGAATGCTGTCCCTTCTCCTGATCTGAGGACAAGAGGGACTGCCTGACATCACGGAAAGATTAACAACCTGATTAGCAGAACACTGGACTCGGGATTGTGACTCACTGGCCTTGTGATTGTGACTCATTGGCGACCAGCTCCTGCAGCCCCCAGCCCACATTCCTCTCCCGTTGCTTGTAACCATTTTACCCATTTTTTTTTTCCTTTTTGCCCACTGCCCTTTCTCACGTCCGTAGCCATTGTTTCTCTACCCTTTAAAAGCAGCTGGCAAGTGATGGGGGCGCAGAGGAGATTTTACAGGATGACCCGCTGCTCTCTCATGCTGCTGGCAGTATTGAAATAAATGCTCATATGCAATTCAACCTTGTCTCTGCTTAATGGGCTCAAGTACTGACAGGTGGCCTGGACCCATTTGTTGTCTGGTTTCACGGTCACCAAACTTACTACCATATTATTGACTATATTCTCTGTGCTGTACATTACATCCCTGTGACTTATTTATTTTATAACTGGAAATTGTGCCTCTTAATCCCCTTTATCTTTTTAGCCCATCCCTGTTTATTTTTTATAGTACTTGACCATCATGTGAAATTAATTCAATGTTACTTGTTTAATTTCTTCACAGTCCTTTTCATTTCTTCTAGAATCTATGCTCCATGAGGTCAAGAAGCTCTGATTGTCTTAGTAATTTCTGTCTACTACAGGTACTAGAGTTAGAATAGTATCTGGCACAAAGTAAACAATCTAACAATTTGTTGAATGAATGAACATTTTAATGAAATGAAATGTCTAAAAAATCCCTAGGAATCCACAGAATAACTTCTAGGACTAAGAAGTGAATTCAGCAAATATTAGCAATGAACACATGGAAAACAATAAAAAATATAACACCATTTGCAATCACTGAAAACTTAGGTATAAGTAACAAAACATGTACAGGACTCATATACTGAAATAAAAAAAACACTGATGGAAAACATCACAGAACTATGTATGTGAAGAAACATATTGTAATGGATTGAAAGACTCAATATAGTAAAGATGTTAATTACTTCCAAATTGATATACAGGTTTAACAAAATTCCGGTTAAAATCCTAGTAAGATTTTATTTTATTTTTTGGAGATGCAGACAAGATTATTCTAAAATGTGTAAGGAAGACAAACCAGAATAGTGACAACAATTTTGAAAAAGAAGAATTAAGTAGGAGGAATAACTCTACCCAAATTTAACTCCTATTATATATCACAATAATCAAGAGAGTGCGTTATTGGCAGAGGGATAGACACAGATCAATGGAACAGATTTAAAGTATCCAGCAATCAAAGCACAGAAGTATACTTAACTGAATTTTGACAAAGGTGTAAAAGCTATTCAATGGGGAAAGGATAGCCTTTTCAACAACTGGCCCTGGAGAAATTGGATGTCCATAGGCATAAAAATAAACCTTGACCTCAACCTCACACTTTACACACTGGGAGAAAATATTTGTAAACCAGATATCTGACAACAAACTTGTATCTAAAATAAACTCAAAACTCAATGGTAAGACTTGTATATGAAATAACACTATCAAGAGAGTTAAAAGATCATGCACAGAATGGGACAAAATATTTGCAAACCCTATATCTGATAAGTAACCAATATTCAGGATATATAGAGAACTCCCACAACACCACAATAACAAAACAACTCAATTAAAAAATGGCCATAGGACTTGAATAGATACTTCTT